AGGATTTTTTGAAGTGTTCTTTAGAGGAAATCTGAAAAATAGTTAAAGGTCTTACTTGGAATAAATTTTAAATAAGAACGCATGGTTATGCAAATCATCATACAAAGAAAACACCATTATATGCTAAGAGCTGAAAGAATAAAAATTAAAAAAAAGTGAAGTTTAGCCACTTAGGTAAGAATTATTAATAACAAATAAGGATAGAAAGATTGATAAAAAGTAAGTTTAATAATATAAAATGTATACGAATTAGTGTTAATATTAAAGAAGAACTGAACTGCATGCCCATTGGAAGTTTTCCTCGATATTTCCGGAAACCTTCTGTGAATAATTATGTAAGGATAAATTCAATATACAGCTAATATTTAAGTTAATGTTTAAGTTTAATTAAAAACTGGGTTCTTTTGAAGATTTTTAGAAGAAAAAATTTTTGGAAGGAAGCATTATTATGCAAATCACCGTAAGAATAGCAACATTAAACGCTGTGAAGTTTAGCAGTTTTGTTTAGGTAAGAACGATTAATAACATTATATAAAGATAAAAGAAGAACTATGCTACATGTCCGTTATGGTCTTTTCTCAATATTTCAAGGAATCTTCTGTGAATAACCTTCGAAGTCTAGCAAACTATAGTGTATGATTCCCACTTGTAGAAATACGTCAAAGGATGGAATTGTTGATTTTAAGAGTTTTAAAAGATATGTTACTTGCAAAATATAAAAATTTTTAAGATTTTAAATTCATATGTTGGGTCATAATGTGTATATAGATGGTTTTATGTGTTTCTAGTTGACAGGAGGAGCAAAACAAAGCCCGAAACGTGTGTCAACAAAAACTGAAATAAATGAATGAGTTATGCCAAGTGTTGATTACAGTATTACGCTGCATTACGGTTTTGAAAAACTAATATAAAGATACAACACGGTTTCGAAATATGAAAGAATATTTTATTATATATTAAAATTCTTTGAAATATTTTCTGCATAAACTACTTCAAAGCATTTTGAATATAGTTTGGAGAGAGGATGCAATAAAATTATGAAAAATTTTTATAATAGTTAATAAGTCATTATTACAGCCAATTCTGGTTCTTCAGTGGTCTGGACTATGTACAATAAAATTAGAAAATAATAAGAAAAAGTATTACAGTGAGATTGCTGAAACCAAGTTACAAGAGCCACATAGGCATCACTTTCAAAACTCATGAGCTTTTGTAAGCACTGCACAATTTTATTTAGTTTTACTTGATTTGTTGAATCAAATAGTAGTTTTTTTTTTCATTCAACCAAACTTAAAATATTTTTATTTGAGTAAATTTTCTAAACTAGGTTCTAAGCCTAAGAGATTTGAAGTACTAACTAAAAGTGAAATTCTCAATATGGTAAATACAATGATAGCAACAGTTAATCCATCACTATTTGATTTCTTTACTGTAGTATGAAAGTATCCCAATAATAAGCAGAATACACAAATTTTTCTAATATAAAGAAAAAGTATTTTTCATAATTTTTTTATTATATGTTTAGTGTAGTTATTGATATATGAAACAATGCAAAATATATAATACTATGTAACATTAAATATTTTTATTTTTTTCTCAATCAATCTTGTTACATGCATGCAGAAATATGGGTTTTGTTAATAGTTTGCTGCTGTCTGTGATAGACTTTGGAATGTATCGTCTACAGAGATGGCAGTCCCACTGTATAATTTCAACATGAAATTTGGGAGCAAGGATGTTCTGCAGGATATGTATAACACTCAACAGGACATATACTACTAACTTCTGACTCGAAACCAAAACGGTGCTTAGTTCAATACACCTTTACTAACGTTTTTGAACTTAGTTCTTCTTTAGGTGAATAAAAGAAACGGGCAGAATCAATGTTATTCGAATATATCTGTTTCATACAAATTCTGAAACGCAGTGTTCTAAGGAAACCCGTGCAATCATCGTCTTAAATTTGCGCATGCTCTGTAGATACATGAGAAGCCAAAAGTGATTCTTCTATCATAAATAAGAGTTTGCCATGCTATTGATAAGGATAGTTTATCCTTATCGTTTATACATTTATCTTCTCTTGCTGTTTATATATATATATATATATCACTTCCATCCAGTGCAAATGGTATGGTTGCTGTGTGATGTATATTATCTTTGCCTCCTCAAATAATGCTTGTATGTCAGGGTCCGTGGCATATTGTGCTAATACTATAGTATGTCTTTTATGTAGGATGTCTGCTTTATGTTCTTTGAGCCTCACCTCCAACAATCTTCTTGTGGATCCCACATACACTAAGTCTTTATCCCATCTATGATCTGTGCATTTTTGTGACCCATAGCAGTATAAGATAGCGGCATTTAATAGCTTGGTGAAAAGAGCATACACTCACTCATCAACAACACAGGCACTGGCTACAGAGATCAATACCATTAATAATATTGCCAAAAGACACGGATATAATAATAGGATAGCCACGAGGGTCAAAAAAATGCTTCATTCCCAAAGAACAGAACAAACAGAACTACAAGGGCAACAAAGTAACATTCAGAAAGACAGAATCCTGATTACTTACAATCCATACTTAGAGAAACTATAAAGAAATCACCAAAAGAAAACAGGCCTCCCTAATATTTAGAAGATGTCCCACTCTGTTTAGAATGCTAAATAATGCAAAAGATACTCCACATCACAACAAATTAGCAGGAATATACAGGATCCCAAAAAAAGATAATAGGTGGGATAAAGACTTAGTATATGTGGGATCCACAAAAAGATCATTGGAGGTGAGGCTCAAAGAACATAAAGCAGACATCCTACATAAAAGACATACTATAGTATTAGCACAATATGCCACGGACCCTGACATACAAGCATTATTTGAGGAGGCAAAGATAATATACATCACACAGCAACCATACCATTTGCACTAGATGGAAGCGATATATATATATATATATAAACAGCAAGAGAAGATAAATGTATAAACGATAAGGATAAACTATCCTTATCAATAGCATGGCAAACTCTTATTTATGATAGAAGAATCACTTTTGGCTTCTCATGTATCTACAGAGCATGCGCAAATTTAAGACGATGATTGCACGGGTTTCCTTAGAACACTGCGTTTCAGAATTTGTATGAAACAGATATATTCGAATAACATTGATTCTGCCCGTTTCTTTTATTCACCTAAAGAAGAACTANATTAGTCTGGAAACGGGGGACCTAATTCTTGCATTTTGTGAAAACGGGTAAGATTAGCTATAATGTAATTATCTTAATCTTCATTATCGTTACTTTTTGCCCAGAGAAGCGGGTCCTTGCAGCTAGATTCTAGATTAAATAGAAAAACAGTCTTTTATATATATATAAAAAAAACTATACTATTACATACAAATAAAAACCCAGCGAAGCGGGATCTTGCAGCTAGTATATATATAAAACACAAGAGAAGATAAATGTATAAACAATAAGGATGAACTATCCTTATCAATAGCATGGCAAACTCTTATTTATGATACATGAGAAGCCAAAAGCGATTCTTCTATCTACAGAGCATGCGCAAATTTAAGACGATGATTGCACGGGTTTCCTTAGAACACTGCATTTCAGAATTTGTATGAAATAGATACGTTCAAATAACATCGATTCTGCCCATTTTCTTTTATTCACCTGAAGAAGAACTAAGTTCGAAAACGTTAGTGAAGGTATATTGAACTAAGCACTGTTTTGTTTTCGAGTCAGAAGTAAGTCGTATATTTTACAGTGTGTATAGATGAGATTATTTAGGTCATATACTTTCATACAACTCTGCTTCATTCCATTTAACTTTTATGCTCTTAAAAGTTAGGACAAAGTTATATGGAGAGAAGTGGAGTTTTATGAATGTAAGAATAATGGAGTAATTGTATGAATGTATATACATAAATCACACAGAAAATGAATTCATATCATAACATTATGAATAACAACATATTTTGGAACATATGAATTGTTACATCAAATTTTCTAACTTTTATTATGTACAGTAGAACCTCGATTATCCGGACTAATTGGGGATGAAGGTAGTCCGGATAAGGAAAAATCCGGATAATCGAAACAAATACTTTAATTTGTCTTTTAATGATAATACAACATGTTTTCTTTTNAAACTGAATTTCTAATAGTGTAAAATTTTTAAACAAACTTTATAGATGATATAAAAATATAACTAATGCAGAAAAATTCACCATTTATAAATTTTCTTAAAGTTACCTTCATTATAAAATTGGAAAGATTCATGACTGGCATCAATTGCAACAGATACTGGACCAACTGTAGCAACGGCTTCTTTCAGTTTTTTTTCACTTCCTTCAGGAACATCTACAAATCCTGTATCACTAGCTCCAATAGTTCTTTTAGAAAATCTACATTTCCCATCCTGAAATTTAAACAATACAATAATAAAAATTTTGAACTTTGATTTAATGATTACTTTAATTAAGACAATAAATTTTCAAAATTTTTAAGTTTAAAATGAATTGTTTTAATAATATATGTTCTAAATATTTAAACTTAGCTTGTTACATGTTCTTAAAACTCATGAAATTTTTCTCCATTACATCAAATATGTTGCTTGAAAATGCAACATATTTCATTATATATATACCATTATACATAAGACACCATTATATATAAAACAAAATATATTTTCTATGGAATATAATAAAATTAAAAATAGAACTATTGGGTTGTTCGGAAAGTAAGTTCATTTTCTTCCACTAGACGGATTAGTCATATTTTTCTCCCCATTTTCGTTCTAAACCGTATTATCATTATATATTTTGACAGCTAGCATTTTATGGATTATTTGTAAAAAATTTTGTTTGATTTTGTGCAATTGTTTATTTTTTTGTGTCCCATCAAATATGGAAGATCGAAAGCAGCATCTTTGGCATATTTTGCATTTTTATTACCAAAAAAATAAAAATGTCGTTCAAGCAAGAAAAAAATCGTGTGACATGTATGTTGGAGATGTGTTGACAGAACAACAGTGCCAAAACTGGTTTACAAAATTTCGTTACCGCAATTTCAGTATTGAAGATGCACCACATTATGAATGGCCAATTGAAGCCAATGAAAACAAAATAAAAGTACCCATTGATGCAAACTGCGGAATAACAACACGTGAAATCACTAAGAGATTAAATTTGTCAAATTGAACTGTTTATGAGTACTTGAAACAAATCGGTTTTGTTTCAAAGCTTGATATATGAATTCCACAAGTTCTTAAAGAGAAATGCTCTATTTGGTGGATATTAAGGAAATTTTTTTTTTGGAGCTTTTACCAGACAATTTAACAATTGATTCGAAAGTGTACTGCATTCAAGTAAACAAATTAATCAAACAGAAAAATTGATAAAGAATTGATAAAAAAAAAAACAGGTGTAGTGTTTTACCACAATAATGTCAAATTTCACACAAGTTTGGTAACTAGTCAGAAACTGTTATAACTTAGATGGGAGGTGCTATCACACCAACCGTAGATTGAGCACACTCCGATTATTACTTGTTCTGGTCTATACAATTTTTTTTAACTGTAAGACATTTACTTGAAATGACAATGTCAAAAATCACTTGGATCAGTTTTTTGTAAGCAACGATCAAAACTTTTATGAATGTGAAATCGTGCTCCTACCAGAAACGATGACAACAGGTATTTGACCAAAATGGTCAACATATAATTCAATAAAATATTTATTTATTATAAGAATATTGCATTTTTTTTCCACGGAAAAAAACAAACTTACTTTCCGAACAACCCAATAGTAAAAGTATAGACATAGATAATAATATTAAAGACTTAAAGAAAAAATTCCTGTTAAATGGATATCCTAACAGACTATTTAAAACTTGGGAAAATAAAATAAATAAATAACATAAATAATGAAGAAAATCCAAAAAAGAATAAAATTGACAATGGAGAAACTCCTAGAAACAATGAAAAGACTCCCAGAAAAAAATGAAGAGAAAAATAAAATTAAAATTAAATATATTCCATTCCCTCATATTAAAGGCTTATACGAAAAGATCAATAACGAGATAAGACATAAAAATGTAAAACTTGCCCCGAAGTACAAAAAATTTTTTGCTAGACTAAATAATAATAAACTC